AACCCCAAACAGAAACAAGGAGAACACAGACAGTTCCCTGGAGGAACTTAGGAAAATCATTCACGAGCAAAATAATAAGATTAATGCACAATCAGAACTAATAGAAAAACAGCAGTTAGAAATGCAGAAGATCAGTACCAAAATGACAGAATTACACAACACAGTAGAAGCACAAAAGAGTAGGTTAGAACTGGCTGAAGAATGTATATCCCAACTAGAAGACAAATCCCTGGACACCAGCCTGCACAAAGAAAAATCAGAACAAAGATTTAACAGAAAATGAATTTACTCTGTAAAGTTTTACCCAAATCACAATTAAAAAAAAAAAAAGTTTCAGTTATTTTTTACAAAACTAACTGCTTGGAAAGGGATCAAAACTGGAGATCTTGGATAGAGTGGGAGGAAAAATGTGGAACAAAATTCGAAAACACAAAAATGACCAGAATTACTGGTTGGAAAGAGAGTGGTGGAACCTCTGAGACTGTGGGCCCGGGTTACTCTAGAAATGGACTCACTTCATGGATTGGCTCTTAGCCCAGCAGTAGAAAGACCTACATGCAGAACACCCACCCAGGGAGATGCACACACCTACTCTAGGGAGATGCGCCCCTTAGGTCAATCAGCCATGAGACACCAGAGGGCAGCATTCACGGAGAGGGGAAACTGGACAGACAGGAATGCGTAGATAAGAAGGGCACAGGGTTAGTCACAGGGAGGGGAGGGGGGAGAATTTTTATGGTTGGGGATGGTAATCGGGATGTGCAATCAAATGTGCATGAACTGTTGCATGTAAATCAAATTTATGAATTTGCACACAAAGCACAATGAAAATAAAAAAGGTTTTGCTTATAATAAACCTGTATTAGTTTCCCGGGGCTACCATAACAAAGGACCACAAACTGGGTGCTTTTAAGAACTGAAATTTATTCTCTTACAGCTACAGAGGCCAGAAGTCTGAATTCAGGGTGTTGGCAGGGCCATGGTCCCTCTGAAGGCTCTAGAGGAGGATTCTTTCTCATCTCCCCCAGCTTCTGGTAGCCCCAAGCATTCCTTGGCTTGGAGCTGCAGCATCTTAGGGTGTTCTTCCCTCTATATGTCTGTTATTGTCCCTTCCCATCTTTTACAAGGACATCAGTCATACTGGCTAGGACCCATTGCACTCAGTATGACCTCATGTTAACTTAATTGATAATATCTTCAAAGATCTGATTTCCAGACAAGGTTATACTCACAGGTAGTTGGGGTTACTAAAAACTTATTGCCATCGAGTCAGATCCGACTCATAGAGACCCTTCCTTGGGTTTCCGAGGCAGTATCACTATGGCAGTAGATTGTCCAACCTTCCTTCTGAGGAATGGCTGGTGGGTTTGAATCGCCAGCCTTCTGGTTAGCAGTTAAATGCCTTAGGCACTATGGTACCAGAGCTCCTTGGCAGTGGGAGTTAGAACTTCAATATCTTTTGGGGGGACACAATTCTCCATTATAAAAACCATGCTTAAAACAACCCAGATGTCTACCAACTGGAGAATCAATAAGTAACTGATACTGTACTTATACAAAGAAATATTATGCAGTAGTGAAAAGTGAATGAATTACAGACCCCGGCAGCAACACAGATGAGTATCAACAGAATAACACTGAAAAAACAAAACAAGTTAGTAAGTATGTGAACATTTGTGAACAAGTTCAGAAACATGTAAAACTAAACCACATAACAACAAAAAAGACAAACAATACAATGAAAAATTGGCAAAAGATTTGGATAGATATGTTTCCAAAGAAGATATACAAATAGCCAACTAACAGATTTTAAAATGCTCAAAATCACAGTAAGATCCTACTCCACACCCAGGCCTGACCTAATCCATAGTATTTTGCATTCTGTTGCACTAAGTTTGCTATGAGTTGGTGACACCTAACAACAACAAGAAGATGGCTGTGATCAGGGGGAAGAAAAAAAAAGGACAATAACAACTGTTGGTGAGGATGTGGAGAAATTGGAGCTCTTCTTTGCTGGTGGGATTGTAAAATAGTGCAGCCGCTGTAGAAAAGAGTTTAGCAGTTTCTAAACTTTAAAAAGTTAAACGCGATAGAGCCTGGTGGAACCACTGAGACTATGGCCCCTAGCTGCCCTGCAGGTCTGGGATTGAACCCACACCTGTGGTTTCCAGCCAAACAAAATACAGGCA